TAAAAAGAAAGAAAATCAAAATTAAAAAAAAAAAAACAGAATTGAAAAGAACGAAATTCGAATAGGAAACAAGGCAATTCAGAGTGTTGAAATTAATCAAAAGAACGAGTCTTGGTCTAGGATAACATCCACCATCTGAATTTCACTACTGCTCATCGATGCAAAAATAAATCAATTTAGACTTTGAATATTCATCGTAGGAATTGGTTTCCTGTATCTCCGTACCATAGTTAATCAGAAAACAAACGATCCTCTTAACCCTTATTACTGAACAACCCTTACACAAGCGTTAAAGATTTAATCTAGCAATAGCCTTAAGCATTAGAGATCGATGAAGCTAAACGACACAAGCACAAGCAGAAGCGGTTGCATTTAATTTAGTCGAGTGTTCTTCCTAAGATCTAATGATTTCTGACGCAGTAAATCATTAAAYCATAGTTGCTTCRCAGATTAGAGGGATCAAACAATTATGGATTTGATATCTAATCCAATAGTAGATTGTAACGAATAATAAACTAGTAGGCCTCCTAGCAATCAGACAAAACAATCATGAACAAGAACATAGAAGAATATTCGATATTCAAAGCATAAATCAAACAATAAAAATCAAATTARATCTCACAGTTGGTGGATTCAGAGGCTTATGTTTCCTTCGACCAAGTATTAGAGTTTAGCCACGCATGGTCATGGTGAAAACTCAAGAAAAATCAGAGAATAGAGAAGAGAAGAGAATAGAGGATCCGTTGCTCCAAATCTGCTTTCTTTCTCCCTTGCTTGCTGAGTTTTTGTCTCCAAGGTTAAGTGATGCTTGAGTGCTAGTCTGCCCCCCTTTATATAGCCTTTGGGGGAGACGCTGTTTCCAACTCCTTTTTGGAGTTCTTTCTAAAAAATAGAAAGTCCTATTTCCTAATGGGATAATGATTAATTCATATCTAATCTTATCATTATCTCTAAACAGAAATCCTTAACTAAGATGGACTCTAACTCTTTCTTTCTTTTTTCTTTGTAGAAATACAGCAAGAATTTGAATCTAATAAGACTCTTTGATGATTCAGCCTCTATCTCAGCCGAATCCTACACTCTCTTGCATGTTGAACTCGTGATGGGCTTTTTCAGCGATCTGGGCTTTGTTGCAGGCTTCTTTCGACCCAAATCGTGGTTTCCAATGTAGTTGTAGAGACTTCGGCCCAGATTTTAACATCGATTCATTCCATATCTATCAAAACTCAAAACATGAAAGTTTTATAGTTTTTCCTTATCTTTTCAACGCATTTTGAATCATCTAATTGGAGTCCGGATAGGAGAGCTATGCCCAAATTACCATGCGGCACCAAAACTATGCAAAATTATCCGATTAGCCTTGTTTTTCACCTAACGCCTCCTTTCGTGCCCTAAATCGAAATATAAGAATAGTGAGTCCAATTAGGCACTAAATAAGTATAAAAGACTAAATGTTAAGGGATAAAAATATGATAATTTTCATTCTCATCACTTGTACATCCAATCCCCTTTGATCTGAGAATGTTTGGACCAATCAAACCTCTCCAATTCATCTAGGACATTCAAAAACCTCATCTTACAAAATTCAAACTCAAAATTCATCAATATGCCCATCTATCAAACAAAGATTCCATTCCTAGCCTTTTTATTGGTCGAATCACCCATACCTTGAACTTCCTTAATTTGAACACATTTGAACCAATCAAACCCTATTAATTTGTCCAAAACCCTCATGAACCTAACCCAATTAAGTTTTAGATCAAAACTACCTCATTTGCCCCTCCATCAAACGAGGATTCCATTATAGGCTTCCTTGTAAATCGAAATGCTCATACCTCTGATTCCACTAATCCATACACATTTGAATTAACCAAACCACACTTATTTGCCAATCCATTTAGATRAGGGTAAATTTCTTAAACTACTCTTGTGATTTAGCCAATTAAATAAGTATACCCYTAATGTTTGTTTATTATCTAATGCTCCCCCTACTGTTTCTAACAATTGACTAGTTTTACACTTATCGTTAATATTTTGTCAAAACTCGTATACATGTGACATATAATATTTTATTTAAACCCAATTTGCGATAGTTATAACCCCCTCTACCTCCGCCCCCCTCTCTCTATCTCCTTCTTATTCCCCATCGTTCTTTCTCTAATTGATGAAAAATTAGAAGAGGACTTGTCTCCATCATAAGAGTCCTACAAAGGGCTTTTGTACATAGTAAACAGGTTTCTTTGGAGACCTTGATGTTGAAGAAGGGGCTAAACTCGCAACATCGTAGATGAACTTCACATGCATCATCTTTGAAGTTTGATTAACACATTAATACATGATTAAATTCTGCTATGATTCTCTCATTACAATAAGTAGCAAATCAATGATTATTCAAAGGGATTGTTAGAAGAAGACTGGTGGTGATTTCTCTTAGCATTGGTCAACCGATGGTGATTTCTCTCAACAATGGCTAACTTCATTGTCTTAAACCTAAAGAGGAATACAGAGTGGTGATGATTTCTCTCCACCTTTGTCTTTGTCTCTATCTCCTCCAGCTTCCTTCCTCTACCATGAAAACCTTATCAATTGTTGGAATCTCATCGCCTCATCTTCCTTGCATCCTAGCATCTCACTTTTTATTGCCATTCAAACCAAATCACCAATGTCGTTGTAACTTCTAGGGGCAGTGGTTCTCCTTTCTTGAACCAAGTTACCAAAAATTCCCTACTTTGATTGGACACAAGTTGTTGAGTCTAACTCTAGTAAAGGGTTGGAAAACCCTAGAAGAAGAACCATGGGAACTTCGAATTTGATTTAAGGGCAAAATAGACATTTCAACCCTTTTGTCAATATTTTAATAGTAGTGGTAATTTTCCGAAATAATAGGGATAGCATTAGACAATAGTGAAACAGTAGGGGTATACTTAATTAGCTAAATCATAAGGGTAGTTTACGAAATTTACCCTTTAGATAAATATCTCATTTTTGGGCTTTCCCTATGATGGAATGCTTGTACCTTAATGGTTCTTTTGGTTGCTGAGAAACAATGAGATGAGAAGTGATGGGATGGGAAAGGATGGGACAAGAAGAGAAAATTTATTTTCTCATTTTGGCATTCCATTGTTTGATTGATGAGAATGGAAATTTACAACTACTTCATCCTCTTCATCTTAGGCTGCGCCGACTTTTTGAGATATGGTCYGCTTGTATCTCTACAACTTGGTTCCACACCAGTAGTGGTGGTTTCTTCAGCAAGAATAGCAATGAAGGTCATGAATGAAGTCGATTTCTCAATTGATCAAGTCGATTTCTCAAGGATATTTTTCAACTAATCAAAATATCTCTCCTCTTTTTCCTCCTCTCTGTCTTTCTGTTTTTTCCTCTTCTTCATCTTTTTCTTCGATTGCCTCCACTACTTGAACCAGAGGTAAGCGACCGTTTTGAGTGTGCCTCCACTGTACCTCTGACGTCGTTGACGAGACGACGCTGTTGCTATTTTAGTGCACCTCCACTGAACCTCTGACGCCATCAACGAGCTGACGATGCTGCTACTATTTCAATGCAACCATTTTAGTGCATCGCCACTGGACCTCTTTTTTTGCGTGTGGTTTCCTTTCTCATTGGGGTCGCACTGTTTCAGTGTGACCCTACGTTCCAAGTTTTAAGAAACCGCATGTCGCTATTTCTCAGTCCATCTCACAAAACAAACGAATGAAAATAGGAATCTAAAGAGAATATTCCCATTTTCTCTTCTTGGTTACACCAACCAAACTAACTGTAATTTCACTCAATCCAAACATGTTTGAACCAATTCATCTAGAACATTCATAAAACTTGATCTTATAAAATTCTTACTCAAAATTCTCCCATATGCAGACCCATGAGACGAAGATTCTATTTATAGGCTTTTTTGTAAGCTAAAAAGATCATACCGCAAATTCCCTTGATCTATGTCTAATTACTAAAACTAATTGACCCAAAATTAGGAATGGCAATGAGACGGGTTTGGGGCGGGGATTACATTCCCCATCCCCGATCCCGACCCCCAAATCACCCTCCATTCCCGTCCCTGATCCCTAGCGGGGAAAGGAATCCCCCCTCCATTCTCGACCCCGACGGGGATGAATTCCCCGTCAGAGACTCGAATCCCTGATAGACTGAGAGGTTGAGACAGAGAGAATGAGAGATTGAGACTGAGAGAGAGAAAGAGAGAGAGGACCGTTGGGAGAGTTAAGATCGGCGACGAGAAAGAGTCTGACGGGCGATGACGGTCAGCGACGATAGGCGAAGGTTAGAAGGACTGACGACTGAAACTCTTCTTTATCTATTCTCTATCACTCGAGAAGGCACGAAGCTAGGGTTCTAAATCTTCTATGGCGATGGCGGTTGGCGAATCGACGACAAAGAATCGAAGATGAAGGAAGGCGAATCGACGAAGCTGTTCGAGAGACAAATGAGTTGAGAGTTCTCAACTTCTCCCTTCTCTCTGTCATGGGTTTTAGACTTTAATTTAGTATTTTACACTTTTACCTTTTTTTAAGTTTTAATAATTAATATTTTAAAAACAAATAATATTATATATATATATATTAATATATATATATATATATTAATCAGGGACGGGTTGGGGCGGGAATTGCATTCCCCGTCCCCGTCCTTGTCCCCAATCGGGGATTCAGGGGTAGCCCCATCCCCGACACCAACCCCGCCAAGTTACCCCCCCATCCTCCGATCCCATCGGGTCTGGGAGCCCGGGTACCCGTCGGGGGACCGGGAAAATTGCCACCCGTACCCAAAATGCTGAAAAACCTTATTCTTGGAACTTCCACTAAAAAAATATCCTATTTTATCCCATCAACTAAAAATTCCATTTCAAAAAATCTGATTCGATCGCATACGCATATACTATATCTGTACACTTTCACTGCGATATGCCGTTTAATTTTATAAAGTTACGAAACTACCCCTATACCCTAATATAAATTATCCCCTCTTCATCGTCTTCTCCGTCCGAGCCTCCAGCAAACAGCGGCTGGTAGAGTTTTCCCTATTCTCTTCACATCTCCAGCCATTTTTAACCATCTCTCGGGTCCCCCTGTTGTAGCGACACACGAGTCCCGAGGTATGAAAGGCTAAAGAGCATCTATTTGTTTTAGTTTCTTTTGTGTTGTACTTTAATTAATAATAAGTTGGCATTTACATGTTCGTTCTTGTTTAGTTTTAAATTCCTGAATCTGGACTAGATACAGGGTGGTCTCAGGCCTGACCGATCGAGACTGTTAGGTGCTTGGCCAGTTAATGCCAAGTGCAGAACCCCCAGCCTCTCGCCCAAACCCCTTTTATTAATTCAGGTTGTTTATTGCCAAGTGCTTGGCTGGTTAAAACCTGCTAATCTCCGTTAGTTTCCATCATTGCAACATTTGCTATTCTATGAATTTGTTTGATTTTCAGTTTTCTTTTATTCGTCCCTTTTCTTTTGGTTACGATTTCTGGTTATCTCAATCTAATTTAATTTTCACTAAGACCAACTTAGTCTCTGTAGCCGTGGTTCGCATATTTGTTGGAATTAATTAACATCCTTCCCCCCATTTTTCTCTCAATTCACATTTTGCTACAKTTTGCTAATTTACTTGACCATTAGTATCTTTAGTTGAACCAATCAGTACGATTTATCGTTAGATTGCTCTTCTCTTTCTAATTAGTCCAACTGATATTTGTCTGCCTCTTCATGATCAATATTCCTTAAATTGGAAGGATCTTTTGCTATTTTCATTGCCCTTGATATTTGTTAGTAGCTATATGCTAGATCATATTCCGCGTTATTGTTTGTTCTTGTTAATGATTAATTCAAACAACATTGTCTTCTCTTTGAGACTATGTGAGTTTTATCTTATATTCATATTAAGGATTTTTGTTCTCTTTACATCATCGTGCAAGTCTGTTTATCCCACCAAGTAATTACCACCCTATGTTATCTAACTTATTTTTGATATGATTTAGTAATTCTATTCTTTTGATTAGATATTTCTAATCTAATGCGATTGAATAGTCTTTTCTCACGTTAGTGATCAATTCTCCTTTTTAGGTTAAGTGTCATTTACTTTATGCGATGGAAAACTCTCTTCTGTTGTTGGATGACTCTATGATTGGGTTATGTCCTCCTTTTGATAGCATTCTTTTTTTTTTTATAATTATTTGGACCACTCTTATTATTATGTTATTAAATAAATTGTGACCTTGGTTTGTTCTTTCTTAGATCCATGAACGGGTTCTTATTTTATGTAAATAGATGCTTCTCTTTTTATGCTATAGATAATTCTCATTGAATGTTGATGTTTACGTCCCTCTTAGGTCATTAMCTTTCTTGATTGCTCTTGGTGTTGTGTTCATTGAATTGTAGCTCTATGTGGTTCAATGCTCCTCATTAGTTTGTTTATGCTTGGTGATTGTTCTTGCTTTGAGAATGCCTGTGTGGGCTCCACCTATTTGAAATGGAAGAGGGGTGCCTGGTGCCTAACCCCTTTTACACGGACTGGTTGGACCATTACCTTAAGGTTTGGAGTTGTTTCCAACACTCATGGTATGTATATTACAAGGTTCAAATCAGTCCAAGTGAGTTGTTTCCAACACTCATGGTATGTATATTACAAGGTTCAAAATTTTGATATGTGTCAGGCCGTATCGGCCCATACATATCATATCGTGTGCTTCCCGATATGCCCTTCCAAGGGGTGTTTTGGTGTCTAACCCAGTTCAGGGGGGTATAGATGGGCCTTAAACCGACTCCTCTGGACTAGGTTGGATAAAAATTAAAAAAAGGGACACGAGCCTTGATACATTCTGATATGCCCCTAACAGCGTATTGGACTGTATCGATATTTTGAACCTTGGTTTATTGGTGCTTTGTTAAATGTACTTGTAATTAGACTTGGGATTTGGAAATATAATTTTGTGGGCCCTTCTATAATTTTGTCTTTTGTTTTTGTAAGTTGTTTCATTTATATTTGATTCTCCTTATGTGATATGATTTTTATTGTTAATTTGCATAGTATTTTTTATTTTCTTCTTTGTTGTATTTTAGTTCTATGATTGAAGAGGATCATCTGATGAGAAAACTGCAACAATATGATACTTAATGATTCATTGTATTTAAGTCTCTGATGATTCATATCTTCACCCCATAGAGTCCTCTTTTGTTTTACTTAATTTACTCTCTTATATATTCCTTCGATTTCTGAAGGTGATGATGAACAAACTTTTATCTGACTTGTGACCCATTACCACCTTCTGCTAGCACTCGTCTTTAAAAGTTAATCAAGTTTGCTTTCTTCTTTTTTTCTATTTTATTCTCTTTAAGTTGTTTCATAATTGTTGCAATTGTAAGCTCTTCTTATTCCAATATTTTGCTAGAGTTTCTTTATTCCCATTTCTTTGGCCTGATTGATTTCTAGAAAAAATGCCTTGGTGTTTTCAATGGTAAATATTTGTGGAATTTATTTATCAAATCTGCTATGTTTTTTATTATTCTTTAATAGCCAATAAATGCTTTTTAGTGATGTCTTTAATTTGCAATCGTAGTAGAATCTTAATGTGTACTTGCTGCATTATTTGTTGCTATACAGTACTTCTGAGTACTGATGAGAAATTGGAACATAATGTTGTACTACCCTTTAGCTCCTTCCTCTTGTGCTTTTTACAATGTTGTTTTCTGTTTTGTCAAGTTGTCTCATTTTGTTTAATTTCTCCTAACTTGTGTTATTAATCTGATCATTGTTATGGACTTTTTGGTTTGCAGTTGGAATTGGTATCAGAATTGGAATGGTCTATTCCCTCCCCCTGTTTGGTTAAAATGCTAGTTGGAATCAGCTGGAATGGATTATATTTCCAAGAGAGGGGGAGGGAATGGTCATTTCCTAAACAGTTAAATCTGCTATGCCATTCCACCAAGAATGGGAATGGGATTTTGATACTCTCCAACCAAATGTTGGAAACTTGGAATTGGAACAGACCATTCTGACTTTGACTTCAGACCCTTAGTCCCATGAATCAAAGGGACCCTTGTTCTTTTTCTTCAATTTATTGAAAAAGTAATTATTCTGTCGGTGTAGATGACGAGAAATCTTTTTGGTCTGTGTTTCTGAATTAACTGTGACTGACAARCCATTACCAATCTCTGATCTCCCTAACACTAGAATCAAACTATGTTACATTCTCTTGAGAAAATTGAAATTCTATCTTAGTCATTGAATTTATTAATCTTTTTGTTTGAATCCTGAATGAAGGAGCTAATCTACAGGTGGAGATGATGAGTAATCTTTTTGGTCTGTGTTTCTGATTTAATAACCTTGACTGACAAACCATTACCAACCTCTGATCTCCCTTGGACCTACAGCCAAATATACTAGCTTCTATTAAAAACTGAATTCTATTTTGTCACTTGTCATTGTGTTTAATGTTCTATAATTCCTTTTTTTTTGCTTTCTTCAATAAAGGATTTGATCTGTGGGAGGAGATGATGAGTAATCTTTTTGGTCCATGTTTCAGAATTTACCTTGACTGACAAACCATTACCAATCTCTGGTCTCCCTCAGGGCTGTATCCAAACATGGCATCTTCTATTAAAAAACTGATTTTTTGTTTGTTTTGCCTCAATACTATGATTCTGAGTCTCTTTTTTAATGAAATGTCCTAATTCTCATTGTGTTGTGCCAATTGATTCAAACTTTATTCTCTTTTTTTTTCTCAATTTTTTGGTAAATACCTAATTTTGGAGTCTTGTGTTAAGGGTGGGTACTGGAGATGAGTTGTCTCTTTGATCTGTGTTTCTGAATTATCTGTGACTGACAAACCATTATCAATGTCTAATCTCCCTCAGACCTGAAGCCAAACGTGCCATATTCTATAAACAACTGATTCTATTTTTTTGTTTCAATACCATGATTTGGATTTCAATTTTTTAATTGAATTTCCTAATTCTATTTTCTTTCTCTCCATTGATTTTAAAAGAATCTGTTTTGACGCATTTGTTTTTTCTCAGTTTCTTGGTAAACACGTAGTTTAGGTTGTTGTGGTAGATGTTCTGTAAGTGTTTGGGCTTGTTTAGATTGACCTTGATTATTGCTAATGCCACTATTGGTGGTTGGGTGTTTGCATAGAAATCTGCCATACAAATCATGATTGAGATGTTTTTAAAAAATTGAATTTTCCAACTAGATCCATTGCCGATCTTTTCCCTAAGCTATCTGGGGTCTTGAAATGGTTGGGAAGTCCTTGATTGGACATTATTTTTGTTTTTGATGGTCAGTGAGCTAATTGGGTACATTTGGGCTCACAGTTGAGGCTAATTCATGATTCTTGGTTTGTACTTTGTTTGAACCTAGGTGCCCCTCCCTATGTTTAGGATGTCTTCTGTTACAAAATAAGTATCAAACAGTGTTTTAAAAGGCATGGGAGTTGTACGCTTGGAGGAGGCGAGGCACCCCCAAATGCCCTGAGGAACAGGCCAGAGGTGCTGACACCTCTAAGGCAAACACTTCATACGCTTTTTTGTTTCAATACCATGATTCTGCTTTTTAATTTTTTTATGAAATTTCTCAATTCTCATTTCTTTCTGTCTATTTATTTTGGAAAATTTGTTTTGACATATTTGTTTTTTCTCAATTTCTTGGTAAACAGATAGTTTGGGTTGTTGGGGTTGATGTCTTGTAAGTTTTGGGGAGGGGAGTTGTTGCTTGCTTTGATTGACCTTTGATTATTGCTAATGCCACTGTTGGTCTGGTGTTGCCATAGAAATCTAGCCATACAAATGATGGATGTGATGTTTTTTTTTTGCTTCAGATGGATGGGATGTTTTTAAACAATTTGAATGCATCTTCCCTATCTAGGTCCATTGCCAATGTTTTCCCTGGCCATTTGGGGTCTTGAAACGGGTGGGCAAGTCCTTGATTGGACTTTTTACATTGTTTTTGATGATCAGTGAGCTCATTGGATATGTTTGGGCTCACTGGTGAGGCTAATTCCTGATTCTTGGTCTGTACTCCGATTGAACTTAGGTGCTCCTCCCTATGTTTAGGATGTCTTCTGTTACTAAATATGTATCAAATATGCATTGCTGAACAAAAGTGATATTAAATGTAGATACCCATAAAAAGCATCAAACATAGATTTATTTTTTCCTTATTTATAATTTGTTGGTATATTTATGTGAATGCCTCCACTTGCTTTATTCTAATGCATGTGTAGTAATTCTTTAAGAAGAACCAATGCCTAGTTCTTGGATTGGCAATTAATTAAAACTTCAACATTTTATTCTTTTTCAATACTCTACATAAAGCTCATCTTTTGTTTTGTTGTGCTTGTAGTAAATCATTTAAAGCCTGTTGAAGCCATGGCAGTTGCCTTCTACAACCTTAACGTGGAGTCTGGCATAAAGAAACTTGATGAGTATCTCCTGACTAGGAGTTACATTACTGGGTATATCATTTTGCATTAAAATTTCCATGTTTCTTGGTTTTCTTTGGTTTCATCATTCAATATCCTATTTTCCCCTCTTAATCCTAGGTACCAGGCTTCAAAGGATGATGTTACTGTCTATTCTGCTCTTTCAAAAGCTCCTTCGTCTGAATATGTGAATGTTTGTAGGTGGTACCACCACATAGATGCTCTTTTAAGACTTTCGTAAGTCCAGCTATAACACAGTCCTTTTCATATTTTCATTTGCCATTTCTCTGAGGTTTTTAAAGTTCTTCAATTTGACTACAGTGGTGTTTCTGGGGAGGGCCAGGGAGTTAAAGTGGAAGGATCAGCTTCCATTACAGAGGAGGTCATTGCAACTCCTCCTGTGGCTGACACAAAGGTGAGATTAGACCTTTTCTTTGTTKGCTCATTTTTTTATACATGGGAATATACTCAGAATTTCATTTGTCCTTTTGTCTGTATCTAATTACTTGTTTATTTATAATCTATTGTAATGTTGGATGGTTTTTATTGGCATAAAACATGTTAGGTTGTTAGTGTTAGCATTGATTTCTAAAAGTAACAGTTAAGGAAATATGAGCATTTAGTGTTTTAAGAGTTTCAAATCCTTATTACATTCAATGGTTCAAAAGTGTGAAATATGGAATTCTTTGTTCTGCTACTTACTTTCTTTTTCTACTAAACTATATTATAAATTCTACCCAAAAACATATTTTAAGAATACTAAGCATTAATCGGAAATTTGAGTTTCAGGCATCAGCTGCTGAGGATGATGATGATGATGATGTTGATTTATTTGGTGAAGAGACTGAGGAAGAAAAGAAAGCTGCTGAAGAACGTGCTGCTGCCATGAAAGCATCAGGCAAAAAGAAAGAGTGTGAGTTTCTGCTTTCTTTTACATAAAGAACTGTGATATTTTGTCATGTGTCGTATTTAAATAACTAAGATTCTTTTCCTTTTTTCTCAAAGTTCCTAAGTTGTGTTAGATATCCAATATTCATCTTAACGGACAATCTTTGGTGCTCTTTTTGGAAATTGGCAATATAGAATTTCAAATCATTTTGCACGTTTTGTTTTATTTTCTCTGTATTGAGCTTTATTAATATTTTGGTCTTTTTCTTCTAGCTGGAAAATCCTCTGTTTTGTTGGATGTGAAGCCCTGGGATGATGAGACGGACATGAAAAAGCTTGAAGAAGCAGTGAGAAGTGTTCAGATGGAAGGCTTGGTTTGGGGAGCCTGTGAGTGCCCCACTTCAAACTTTTTGCACGTTTACCATTCAGTAATCAACTCGTCAAACCAAGTTAGAGAGTGAAAATATATTTGGATGTTCATGACTTGTATTCTGGTAATTTCAGCTAAGCTTGTACCTGTTGGATATGGTATAAAGAAAATGCAAATCATGATGACAATTGTGGATGATTTGGTATCCATTGATAACCTTATTGAGGATTACCTAACTGCTGAACCAGCAAATGAGTACATTCAGAGTTGTGACATTGTAGCATTCAACAAGATCTGTAAGTTCAACTTCTAATCCTAGTATTGCTGTTATTAATATCAAGATGCTTCTGAGACAACATTGGGAAACTTTCAACGAATATCCTTCTTTCATTTGTTTTCTTACAGGGCAATGATATTGATCAATGTTTTGTGCATTTTTTGTTTTGCAGAGGGTGTTGGGTTTTCCTGTGTGTAGGAAACATTCGGTGGCTGCTACATCTTCAGTGGAAATTTATCTTTGAGGAGAGATGTTTTTCTATGTTATTATTTTTCGTTAAACTTCCTGTAAGACCTCCGAGTGAAACTAGTTTTGCACAATGAATTATCAAGTTTACCAATCTCTTCTTTTAGGGCTGTAATCAGCACAAGCCATCCTTCCATTTGTTTGTATTCTATGTAATGATGGTTTGAATGGCTATACGTTTATTCAAGAGTTGGAGAATTGCATTCAGTTTTGCCCTCCTTTATTTCCATGTCAGTAATATCATAATTCCCACTGTTGGTCAAGTTCAGATTATTATCACTCTAGCTTCTTTGCAGCATCGGTTCTACCAAATCCCATCTATGATCCAGTATCATTATCATCTTTCCTATTTTGATTCATCTGCTTCTTTCCTGAGAAAAGATTATGGCTGACCCTTTGGATGGAACTGTGTATCCATTCTCCAATAGCTTCTGTTTATGCCATTCTCTTCCATCTTCCACTGAGTCAAACCTCCGATACTTCTGACAATGCCTTCTGTGTTATTAGAAATCAACTTATTCTTTTTCTTCAAACCTCTACTATCCCTTTTCTTGTAATCTAAACAAGTCATTATTCATATTGACTGCCATCTTAAATATAATCTTACTCCATAGCCTTCAAATATTCATCAAACTGTACTCTTTGTCAAGAAACCCATAGGCCATCACTACCAGACCGATCCGTGTCCTCTGACAAAATATTCATAATTCTGCAACTGGATGTTCTCAAACTGAAAAAGTCCAATACGATTAGCCTTCGTGGTATTCAAGGCAAATATTGGAAATAGGTTTCGAGAAACCGGCAACCCAACTGTGGGGAAGAAGAATTCTGGAATTAATTTAAGAAGAAACCCGCTTCTCTCCGAACTAGATAATAGCTAAACCCACAAGTCCACTACTTGCGATTACCTCCATTATAACAGTTTAAGCAACAAAAGATGCAACATGACTCTGAGATGTGAACCTCTAACCCAACCACTTCCGTTTCAGAAAGAAATTCATCTATCCCCAATCTTAACCAAATTAAACCATTCTTCAACCGTTGGCATAACAAATTCGAAAAACTGAAACAGAGAACAAAGACTAGATACGCATATATACTGAATGGATAATAAAACGAGAAGACTTACAGAAGTTTGTTAGACCACTAGATGCATTCCACTCCGCAACTTCCACTAAAGCTCTTGTGCGGAGTCCTGCGGACAGTGGACAATGGACAGCAGATAGATAACGAATAGTGCTGGAGCTACTATATGCGTACGAAAAATCTAAGGTGATGAGTTTGAAACCCACGTGCTTTAGTTATCCATAGTTTAGCATTATTCATAATAGGTTTGGGTTGGTGCATCTATCTATATCTTGAAGCGTTGGGAGGGTGTAGGGTAGTCTTGTGAGGTATCTGTCTCTCCATTTTCTTCTTTATTCTCTCTTCTTCCACCTCTGTTTTTCTGGAAAATTACAAGAATGTCTGTCACAGATAAAGCTTCCATATAACTGCCTTTAAAATATTCAAAAATTACAACAATGCCATATATAAGACAATATATTACGATTATGACATCCTATATATAAAATGCCATTCCTCTTCTTTCTCAACTCTCTCTATCTCTATCTCTCCTACTCTCTATCTCAACTTTTGTTTTTTTATTTTATTATTATCTAAGCATTTATTTATTTAATAAAATTAAATACATTATTTATTTTAAAAATAAGTCAGTGAAATAAAAGGGATGTGACATTAAGAGATAGATTTCTATCTCAACTTTTATTTATTCATTTATTTATTTTATTATTATTATATAAACATTTATTTATTTACTAAAATTAAATAAATTATTTATTTTAATAAAATAAAAGAGATGTAACATTAAGATATAGATTTCAATAAATATTTATTTATTTATTTAGAAATAATTTACTACAAAAATATTCTCTCCCCTTGAGCCTAATATTTAGTGTTATCAACAGGTTGGGTCTGGTTCGAGATAGCCTATACCAATCCCATCCCAATAGACTTTTATTTATTTATTTAAGAAAAACTAGAGCTGAACCAATGGGTTGGGTCTATCCTCATGGARCTAAATTAACTGAACATAATTATAATGGTTTTGGTTCCATGATTTTGTCTTGACTAATTATTGGATTGACTCTCATTCTTACTTGTCTAGAATTGATTGAGGTCTGGAACCAAACATTTTATGAAATATATAATTTTTATCTTGTATTTTTTATCATGTTTCATGTTTGAAATAGTAAATTTGATAAATAATAAATAAGATAATATTAGTTAAAAATATTTAACTTATTAACATAAAAATAAATTAGTATTATTTTGACTATTGTTTTCAATATAATGAGGTCTATGATTTGATCCCAATTAAATAATCGGTTCAAGACTGATTCTACATGGTTGTTTATTATTCATAATAATATAGTTATAGTTATTTTATTTTAAAAAATATAACCTAATTTATTATTGCATCTCCAAATAGGCATAAAAAAATTGTATTTCCAAATGACATTTCTTAAATTGTATCTCCCCTAGTCTTCGTTAACGCAAAGGATCTGAGTTGTGCATCCCTAAGTAAATACTTAGGGTCCGTATGGTTTGCAGTTGCAGAAATAAGAATCAGAATTGGAATGGTTCTTTCTAATTTTAGCTGTTATTGGGCAAAATTGGAATATGATTCCCATTCCGAGGGATGACAATCTCCCATTTGAGGGAATAGCCATTCCCGGACCACCCCTTAGGAATTAGAATCCCATTCCAGCCAATTAAAATAAGAAATAGGAAAATGACAACCCCCAACTCTTCTCTTTAGTTGATTCCAAGTTTCCAACCCTCCCTCCATCTCTCGTCCCTCCCTCCTTTGGTAGTGAGTTTTTAAAACTTATTGAGAAGGGTTACTGGGTTTCTTGTAAGGTTACTAGTTCCTAAACCTATTTTTTCCTCACTCAATGATTGAGAACTCTTTGATCGAAACACTCTAAAAGTTTGTAGCTAAATAGAGGAAGTTTTAGTTTGGTGTTTATAATTAGCTAATTTATATTTTTCTTTGGGCTTACAGGGCAGATAATCGGTTTATACTATTTGACTCTAACACATTTGAGAAGTAAAGAAGGGATATTAACTCTAACAATATTTAATTGGTGATTCTTCAAGTCTCTTTTTCTCGATAAAGTAGAGGATGTGTTGAATACGAAAAAAAAATTTCATGCTATTGGAATGTAATCACACTATATCTTTGGTATGTTCAAAATTGTGATAAAACATGTATACACATCATATAGTTATTGATAAGCGGTAATTTGGTCCTCCGAATGACATTATGACACATGGCTTTCAAGTGAAACTTCGGCATTGAGTAAGCAGATCACCTTGGCAGGTTGGCTGGTAGCTCCTCACAGGGCTGACCTAAAAGTACATCGGCTTGGCCGATTTGAAGGACCTCCGAATAAGGAGCGACCTACCTTAGGGATCGACCGAGGTAAGAAAAGTACTATCGGTGACCTACAAGGCATGCTTGYTGACTTGTCACATAGATCCGTTGTCAGACTGAGTTCTCTAAATATTAATGAGTCGACCATTAGGCCAACCTACTCACATTACGCGCATTAGAGCCAACCGGATGGATCTTATCCCTCTGCATAGATTACGTAACTGACATCATTACTCTCCCGACTTAATGGAAACGACTCTGTGAGAACCTAAAACTTATTACGAAAAGGTCTTTGGGCACTTACACCTATATAAATGTCTCATTTCTACCTGAAGAGGTACGTGCGATTAAGCTCTCACACTCTCTAATCTCTTAAGGTCTCATTTCTACTTATATAAAGGTCTCATAGATTACGTAAAGACTTTTCGCTGACTTAAGCATTAAAGTGTCCATCCAAGGTAAAAGCAACCCGAGCATTCTAACTCTCTTTTGTAGAACCATGTAGCTCTGCCAACCTTAGCTTGGCCCAACTCAACTCGACCACCACATGAGAGCCGCCAAATCGTGCAACATCAGTTATGTTCAACAATAACTAGTCATTTGACACTTCTTGTAATTATGAATTAGATTCCATTTTGCTTTTAGGCATGTTGCTAGAAGTTTAACTATTAAGCTGCATTTGGAAATGATGCAAATAAGTGTGAGTGCAAATATGTAGAGTGCAAAGCGGTTCATATAAATTACAAAATTGGGTTAGTTTTGCACTGACAAATTTACCTTCTTACAAAGCAGACTTTTAGATGTAATGGATGCAAACATGAAATCCAATAAAGCACATGCTTTTTTTTTTTTTTTTTTTATCAAAGGCCCACTTGAATGCAAATTTATTTCTCTTTTGTTGATGTACTTTTACATCTTTTATCAATGTAAATATGCATTGGTCTGTCATTTGTCAATGCATAAATGTAATATTGCCAAACACAGGATAAAGTGAATCGAAATGCAAATTTACCTTGAACCGGGATTTTACACTCCATTTGCATTGTTTCCAAATGTAGCCTAATGAATTTAATGTTGGAACCATGTTCAAACAATTTTTATTAGGATTATATTTAATTATGTTAAATTTCTTTTGTTCTTTGAGATTTTATTTACATCATAGTTTTTTGATAAGCTATTGTAGCATTTTTATTCAATTTTTGAAAGCTAATTCGACCAGAAAACTATAGGGAATCCAAGGCAACTTGTGCTTAGTTGGACTAGTATCAAGTTATGCATAGATCTGCTGTTGCTTGGATTCAGAATTTGAGTTGGATTTGTTTTTAGATTGATTGTTTTGTTTGTTGGCTTCCAATCAGATCCCTATCTGTTTTTCACCATTTTTTCTTTTTGCCCAGTAAGGTGAAGTTTCTGACGGTTACCTATTTCCCATTAGGAATCCAATATTCCAAATTTAACTAGAACTACACTGTCAAGGTGCTACATTGGTTGGCTGGTAAAGTTATGCAATTGGGTTTTTGCAACCTACACGGACCCAACACAATTCCATGGGCCATAAACTTGCACAAGTAAACCAAGCCTAATGAGTTATTGAATTAGGCCTAAAGCCCGTGAACATAAGCCCATTATAGCTATGCCAAGAATTTCAAATTGTGTGGATCAAGTGAGGCCTATAAGATAAGAAGATGATTCTCTTAACCAAATAAATCAAAGATTTGGTAGAGATTAAGAAAATATTTTATATTTGAATTTCTTTTCTTTGTTAGTAACTAGTAACTACTTCA